CTGTTGGGGCGTTAGCCCCGGGGTCCGTTCCTCCCCCTGGCCCGCCTCTGTCTGTGGAAGAGCTTGGGGCTGTTTCTCGGGCCAGGTGTCGTGGCAGCAGCTGGATGCTGGGGGACAGTGGGAGGGCAGGCACGACAGGGACAGGTCCTCACAGGCTCCGAGTGGCCTCACCCCTCCATCTGTCTGTCTTGTCTGTCTGCAGGTGGGCAGCCCCTTCGGCTCAGGCAGCCCCTCCAAAGGCCTCTTCTCCAGAGGCCCCCAGCACCGGCCCTCCAGCCCCGTGTCTGCTCCCGTGAGGCCCAAGACCAGCCCCGGCTCCCCCAAAACCGTGTTCCCGTTCTCCTACCAGGAGTCCCCGCCGCGCTCCCCCCGCCGCATGAGCTTCAGTGGGATCTTCCGCTCCTCGTCCAAAGAATCTTCCCCCAACTCCAACCCGTCTACCTCGCCCGGGGGCATCCGGTTCTTCTCGCGCTCCAGAAAAAGTAAGGCATTGATGGCTATTGTTCAGGTGGGTGCAGGGCTGCCAGGGGGCTGCTCACAGCCGCTTGGCCACGGTGCCACCTGCAGGGACACCGAAGCTGGCCGGGTGGCTGTTACTGATGGTGCTGAGTGTGTGCGTCTGGTCTGTCCCCCAGGAACAAATTTACCTCCAGAGCCACGTGTTTCCACCTGTCGCTTTATTCCTGCACTAATCCACCCAGTATGGCGTGGCTTGTGGGGTTAATGTAAATACCCCGATACTCACAGTATGGCTGTGAGGACAGCCACGTGGAACGCTAGCCTCCAGCCTTCTCTGGAAATCAGTAGCGGCCCACACCTGGGGCCAGAGGGCCCGGCCCTTTCTTTGATCTGCCCTGTGCGGCCCCCAGTGCTTTCGGCTTGGCGTTTGGGGGATTTGAGTGAACCTGTTTCTGGCACATCCTGACTTTTTCTGTATCAGGCCCCGGGTAGGTGGGGTTGATTTGTTACAGAAACAGGGGAAGCAGATGTGTGTTTCAGAGAGAGTTCCTTAGGCTCATGAGTGTTTGTGATCTAAGGATAAAATATTCTCCACTGAGCACCGTTGATCGTATCTAGAAATATACCGGGGAAACCATAAAGTAGATGGAGTTTATTTTCACCTTTCCCGTGTCTTAGTGCATCTCCCTACTCTTTACGACTCTTTCTGATGACATAGGAAGTTCCTATCAAGAATACAATGATTTGGAAAACAAGCGCCTCCTTTCTCTCCGGGTTGTATTTGCAAGAGGACCTGTAGGCTGGAGCTATTACTCTATCTGCAAGGCCAGCCCAAGTGCAGTTTCAGGCTCCGTGACTTGTAAGGAAAGGGTGGGGAGCTTTCTTCTTTAATTTTTTTCGGTGGTTTGGGGTAGCGTTCCTAGCACCCCTAAAGGCATCCCCATGATGACTGAACTCAGGTGTAAGTGTACAAATGTCACAGGACAAGGTGGTCCTCACGCAGACAGTACGGGTGACGTGCAGTTAGGAACTTAGATATGAAGCCGGATAGGGAGGTGTGTCCTAGCACTGACATCCCAACACCCTAGAGAGCATCCCCGGTTTCCTGGACAGGGACCCTGAAATTCTCAAATATGCCATCACGCACCACCTCTCAGAGGGGAGGGGATGTCAGACCAGACCTTCACCAGGTGTCCTGTTTCCCCAAAGGTGGCATTGTGCCTGGGTTGCTTACAACAGAACTAGGTTGTATTAATTTCCTGGGGCAGTCATTACAAAGTACCCCAAACCGGGTGGCTTAAACAACAGAAATTTATTCTCTCAGTTCCAGAGGCCAGAAACCAAAATCAAGACGTCAGCAGGGCCATGGTCCCTCCGAAGAGTCTAGGGAAGAATCTGTCCCAGGCCTTTCTCTTAGCTCCTAGCGTTGCTGGTGGTCCTGGGTGCCCCTTGGCTTGTGGAAGCAGGACGCCAGTCTCTGCATCCACCGTCCCTGTCACGTGGCCCTCTCCGCCGTGTGTCTGTCTGTGTGTCTGTGTCTTTGTGCTTCTGCGTCTCTTCTTCTAAGGACATCGGTCATTTTGGATTGAGGGCCACCCTGCTTCAGGACGACCTCCTCCTAACTAATTACATCCGCAATGACCCTATTTTCAAATAAGTTCGCTTTCTGTGGTTCCTGGAAGGACATGAATTTGGAGGGGGCGGGGGGACACCATCCAACCCAGTACACAGGTCACATTGAAAAGCCAAGATCTGCAATTCATGTCACTGGCTGGGGAGGTGCAGGACTTGTGGGTGTAGGGTGGTCATTCTGTTAAGACCAGGGTCATTTCTTTGTGTTTTTCTTGGCTGTGCTGTGCGGCATGCGGCATCTTAGTTCCCTGACCAGGGATGGAACCCACGCCCCCTGCAGTGGAAGCGCAGAGTCTTAACCACTGGACCAGCAGGGAAGTCCCAAGACCAGGGTCATTTCTGAAGGCAGAAAGGGGCAGCCAAGCTATGGGGTCTGGGAGGTGTGGGGGAGCCAGCAGGTGGGATGCTGGGTCCTGAAGATGGGCCAGATGTTCAGCTTCCCGGGAAGCAGGAGTCCGTGCTGCCCTTTTCCGGTCAGTGTTTTTAAAGGCCATTGAGTGTGCTAGAAAGCACCCAGCTGCAAAGGTGTGTCTTGTTAGGTGCTGTGCAGCAAGTGTGGCTAGTTAAGGCTTCTCTGCCGTCTGGCTGGGTAGCCGTAGGCGGGGCTCAAGAAGACCGTGGAGTGACTGGGGCTTGTAAAGACGCGTTGATTAGGTCAGGGCGGGGGCTCGGCTTCTTCAGAGAAGCTCTCTGGGAGCGGGTGTTCAGACCAGGGTGGGCCTGGACCCAGGACAGTAGCCCGTGCTGTTGCCCTTGAACCACCGAGCCCAGGTCCTTGACCTTCCCCGAGGACGTGGGAAACCAACCCTGCCCAGCCCGCTGATGAAGCAGGAAGGTCTGAGTCTGTATCCAGGCAGTGTGTGTGCTCTACTCCACGGGGTTCTCCCCTCAGGTCCTAGCCACCTGATTTTTTCACTGGACTTGCCGTGAGGCTTGCGTGCAGGGTATACAATCTATCTGCTTTTCCTCCTGCCTGAATCTACACCCGGGTCAACGTGCCCAGACTACATATTGCTCCCACTGCCCCAGAACTGATTTCACAAAATTGAGCTTGAGAGTAATGCCAGTGGCCTGTATGGAGGGTCTGGATAAGCAGCTGCCTATGAAACCCGCTGTGTCCGTTGGAAAGATGTCGTGAACACGCCATTTGTCACACGAGCCCCCTGGGAGAAATTTCCTGTCTCGGTACCAAGAATAGCCGTACTTCTGAGCAACTCGATTGCTTTTGTCTGTGATAGACACTGATCATGTAAAGACCCAATTTTCCCCGTCTGCATTGCCTGCTGGAAACCTTAGAACCAAATGTGTATGAGGGGCATTAAGGGACACATTTCTAGCCTGGTTTCTGAATCCATTTTTGGTCCCCATCCTTTTACTCCCCCCCCCCCTCTTTTTTTTTTTAAAACAAGGAAGACAATTTATTGGAAGGATTTGGGTGTATTTACAGAATTCAAAGAAGAGCTGAATGCTCAGGACTCAGGAAGGGAAGGAACCAGGCTGCTTCTGGGGGGCTTGGCAGCAAGAATTGATGGAGATCCAGAGAATTCCTAGTCTTCGTGTCTCTCCATTTACCATTCCAGCTTCCTCATTATAGGATCTCTGATTAGCCCAGTTGGGATCTCTGAACCAATCGGTTACTGGGGGGCTGGGAGGCAGGATCATGCGGCGAAAACAAAGTAACCAAGAACCCACCCAGGAAGTGAGCAGAAGTTCCTGGGGGAGAGGCGCCGTTGGCAGCTCTGCAGCGCCTGCAACACTCCTCGTCCGCCGCCCAGCATGTGTGCACACACAGCCTCCCACTTTTACGAAGATTCCCTCATTGAACCCGGTCCAGTCACCCCACACACAGTGGTAAGAGTCCTGGCTGCTTCCCCAGCATCAGGTCCAGGCGTCACCACGAAGGATGTCAGCGTGACGGGCGGAGTCCTCCACCTCAAAGTAATGAAATTCCCATTTCTCCTCCAGTGCTGCCTGCGCCCTGTCCTTCTATCCGGTGACTTTCATCCTACATGATGACACAGAATCTAAAGGTGCAGCCAACCCCCCGGGTGACACTCAAGCTTGGTAAAACACTGCCTTCTAGTATTAGGGGAAAGAAAGAGGGGAGACAGAAATTTTGAGCACAGTCATTTTCAAAGGGAAATAAAGGAAAAGGAGATGATTCAGTCTTCAGACACTTCAAGAACAAGAGAGGTAATACGGATGGAGGCTACAGTTCCAGATGCTATGTCTGGTCCCAGGACCTAGGCTGGCTGGGGCTCTTGGCCCAGGGAGGAAAACCAGCCCTTTGTTCTAGAAGGACCCTACCTCTTGGAGGGGCTGCTTGTATAGAGTGGCTGTAGCCTTCCTCTGGTCTCCGGACCCAGTGGCGTGTTGATTCAAGACACGTCTTGGGGACTCTGGGGTTTTCGTCACACTCCTCCCAGGCCCGCTGTTAGTAGCAAACCTAATTCCCTTAGGGGATCAGGGTCAGCCACCCCAAGCAAAGCAATAACCTGCTATACAGCCTCCTCGTCTAATACAGTGGTCGGCATACTACAGCCTGGGACAAAACCCAGCCTGAATCCTTTATTAATTTGTGTACATGAATCACTGAGACACAGTCACGCCCTTGTTCCTTTCCGCTGCGGCTGTTTTCACACGTAGCAGCAGACTTGAGCTGCTGAGCTGTCCGAGACCGCGTGGCCCACAAAGGAGAACATGTTTACGCCTTGTCTAGTTTCCAAGAAGTCTTACGTGACCATGTGGCGGTAGAAGCTTCCAGAAAACAGCAAATCTTATCTCCAAAAGATTTTTTACAACTTGATTGAGGATGACTTTGCCTTTGTAGGTGAGGAAAGGGAAGTGCACGTCAGTATGTTCTTGAACTGCAAATAATAAGATGAAAGTCTTTTTAAAAGCAAAAACAATCTTGCGTAGTCAGCAAGCCAGGACCTCAAGAAGGATTGAAGTTCATGTTAGTAAGCTTTGCTCCCTAATCATTGATAATAATCAGTGTCTACTATGCACGTTCGAAGTGCATCGAACGTGAGCATTGTTTTTCTCTGCCATATGCATATTCCTTTATTTTACTTACGAGCTTGTAATACTCTGTGAATACGTTATGTACATCATAAAACACACCAACAAATTTTTTTAATTTAAAATTTTAAAGGAAGAGATCAAAATAAACAGAAATTAAAGTTGCCACACTTTTCTTTCCACATCCAACGGACCATTTTGCACACACTCTGGGATGCTAACTAATCTGCATCCCAGGTTAATTTGGAGACCAGTCTCCTAGGTGTCCGCACGCAGGGTCCACTTCCTGGGCGAGCGGACAGGAAAAGTAAGATTCTCAAAATTAAGAACTGTAGCAAATTTACTTTGTTTGCTTTCTCGATCTTCTGTTGGCCAATACGTAAAAGCGTTTCCATATCAGACAATTCCTTTTAACGCAACATACAGCAAACACACAGAATCGAGGGCAGGACCTGTAACGGCACAAAACTCATAGACGCCCTCAGACTCTCATGGGACCAAGCTGAAAAGGCTCCATGGGTGGAATTGGTCTTAAGCAGGGCGCAAAAGAAGGGAACGGCAGAGAGAGGACAGAAGGAAGTTCCAGATGGGCCCAAAGACCACAGGCTGCAGGGAAGAGCATGCGGGGAGACAGAAAGAAGCTTTCCTGGGCTGAAGAGAGACTGGGCTCTGAGAGCACAGCAGGGACGAGGAGGCCAGTTGATGGTGGGGGGATGGTATGAGGACAACCTATGTCACCATTTAAAAAGAAACAGGGGCTTCCCTGGTGGCGCAGTGGTTGAGAGTCCACCTGCCTATGCAGGGGACACGGGTTCGTGCCCCGATCCGGGAGGATCCCACATGCCGCGGAGCGGCTGGGCCCGTGAGCCGTGGCCGCCGGGCCTGCGCGTCTGGAGCCTGTGCTCCGCAACGGGAGAGGCCACAACAGTGAGAGGCCCGCGTACCGCAAAAAAATAAATAAATAAAAAAAAACAAAAACAAAACAAACAAAAAAAAATCTTCCAACAAATAAAAGCCCAGGACCAAAAAAATAAATAAATAAAAAGAAACAAACCTTTAGGTTGACCACAGAGACGGCTGACAACCATTACAGGTCTCTGTAAACGGAGAACGGACCAAAATGAAGCTGGGAGAATATTATTAGGGCTGCTTGTGTAGACAGTGAGAAAGGCCTGTGAGGAAATGCGGCCACCATCCTAGTCCAAGGTGGCTTGGGACCCAGACCAGAGACCGGGACCACTGGAACGGTTGGCAGAAACAGAGAGGGATGGAAAAAGAATTAATGGGGGCGTACGAAGGGTAGGCAAAAAAGGAAATGAAAAGAGAGAGGGGCATTCTTGTGCATTCTTGCCACCCGTGGGCTTGTCCAGTGATAGAGGTTATTGATACTGGTAACTCAAGACAAACTGCTCCTTGCCCAGGGCTCGCCGAAGCCTCTTCCTCGGGGCCTTTCTCGGCTTGGGGCTGCTGTGCACCAAGATGCTGGAGTGCAGACAGATGCCGGCATAGGTCACCGCTCCCCAGGCCCAGTGCCGGTGCTTCCGGAGGGTTGGGATGTTCACAAGGACAATTATCAGGCACAGGAAATATGATGAAAAAGAAGGCAAGTGACTTCCGGGCCACGGTGTGAGCCCGGGTGCTGGGATCACTCGGGCCGGGTCTGGTCCCTCATCTGCCCCAAGTGCCGGCGCAGCGAGAACACGAGCGAGAGGGTGGACACCGGGAACAGGAGGAATGGAACTGACCACGTGATAATTGCATGAGGTAGAAAAAAGCGCAAAGAGACGGTCTGTATCCTACCAGCCAGGGTGTCGTTTCCATGGGAACTCTGGGTGGCAACCATCTGCACAAGAATTGACTTCTGATGATGATGTCAGACCAGACAGGATCAGGGAGCCCAGCAGCAGCCTGGACACTGACCGAGAAATCCTACACTTCAGCCAGAAGAAGACGGGGTGAGAGAAGGATGCTATCTTCACACGGTAGCTGGTCAGCCAGAAAGTGAGAGCATTGATGAAGCTCCAGGAGATTTTGAAATAAAATTTGGAACCAAAACCAAAGGAAGTCAGGAGGTTGTTCTGGAGGGCCATCCCTTGCAGACAGAACCGGGAGGCGGCCAGGCAGGCCACAAGCACGTCGCCTGCGGGCAGCGTCCAGCATCATCCAGCGTCCAGCATCATCCAGCGTCCCACTCCGGCTCAGCACGATGACTGTGAAGCCGTTCTGCAGCGTGGCAGCCACCGACTCCAGGAAAAAGGTGACCATGCAGATCCACATGGGTGAGGGGGGCACTTTCTCCAGGCAGACTTCTACTCCGGGTGCTGGGACACGCCCACGGGGAAGCACAGCCTCTCTGGATGAGCCGCTCTGTTGAGAGACTACAGGCCCAGGGGCTCTCCTTGGATTCATGCAAAAGCGTAGCTACCAGCAAACACCACCATCCCACCACCTCCCCACTCCCACCCCTGCCGGTCCTCCAGGATTTGAAAGGAGGATCCTTGTCAGTTCTCTGGGCGTGTAAATCCCTCCCAGCTCAGTGATACCCTCTCTCTGTTTGCATAACTTGTATTTGCCTGCTCTCTATCAGAGCCAGGTGTAGGTTAGAGCAATCAATTTCCATGTTTGACAGGGCTCAGGACACCCAGTTGATTTTGAAACTGAGCAGGCCTGGGGATCTGATGGAGTCAACCCCACAGGAGACTCTGGAATTCTCCAGGGAAGAGAGTAACCATCCATAGGGCGGGGGGTGGTCAACGGTGGACAGAATGATCTCCGACTGTCACAACAGATCAATTTGGACATCTCACATTTAGCACTTCTTTGAAGAGCTTTCTGAATATGACGCAGTGCACAGACTGGGTGAATGGCGTTTTCTGTGTGGTACCCTCAGGTGGGTCTGTACTGGGGGAATTAGACTCTCATCTGCATTGAGAAAAGCAACAGGGCAATCAGAAACCAACCATAATTCAGTAAGAGGCAAAAAAAAAAAAAAAAAAAAAAAAAAAGACCCACCTGCCGAGTGGGTGGAGTGGGAAGTCATTTGTGTGCACAAGTCTTGGAAGCACTAAGAAAAGGCCCCCTGTTACCTCCAGTGGCTGCTCCTGCAGCCTAAACTGGCGGGCTCCATACTGGAGTTCCAGGAGTCTGCACTTAAAACATGAGTTTCCCTGATGTGTTAACATCGATCGTTATTTTAATCTGCATAAAAACTCCATGACGTCAGATTTTGACCATTTTCATCAAAGCAGAAACGGAGGCCCAGAGGGGCTAAGTCACTGAGCAAAAGCCACACTGCTGCTAAGTGGCAGAACCAGGATTTGAACTCACGTGGTGTCCGCTTTTACCTACAGTGCCCTACTGTGCAAGGCTTCCTCCAGCTCCGAATACAAGGCATTGCCCATCCTTGCAGGCCGGATAAATGCAGCAAAGCTCAGAAAAAACACAAAGGAACGAAAGCTCCTTCCCCAGCCAAAGGCGGGGGCTCCGCCAGCAGAGGTTCCCCCCGCCCCGATCTTCACACGAGAGGGCGCCCGCACCTCACACCTGAT